AACACTGATGAAGAAGGGACTTGAAACCTGAAGTTACTAGTTTTATGGAAATTAAAAAAGTCTTCAAGCGATGTCGTTTTTGTTATTTTGTAAAGTTCTTTGTAATTTCGTAGCACCACTCTGTAGGGTCCAATTTCGTCGTCATCGGCGGAATTTGCTTACCGAGTATTGGTGTGCTCATCGACAATTCCTTCTGCGTGAAATAGTAGAACAGGAAGGGTTCAGGGGAAGGAAAGCTCTGGCGTTTCTTCGGGCTCTCTTCGCCTGTTCTATTTGTCTTTTGGGTTTACGAAGGGTGTTGTTTTTTGGGGGGTTTTTTGTTTTTGTTTTTTTTTTTGTTTTTTTTTGGTGGACTGCTCTCAAATGACCGGATCGATTTCTGTCCTCATCTTGATTCTTGAATCGACGACGTGGGGCTCCTCGGGGTCTCTTGCCGGATGCGAGATCCGAGAAGAGGATTTGTTTGAATAGGTGGATGTCTGGAATTCGGGTGAAGTCGGTGGCCAGTCATGATAGGTTTCTAGGCTCTCCATTTTTGTGCGGAGGAGAACTTCGTTGTTCGTGATTCGGTTCTGCCACTTGTTCCGCAGAATTTGACGAAGTTTTATTTGATGGAATCTTTCAAGTTTTCGGATGTCTTTTCAGTAAAGTACCCAGGTCTCACAGGCGTACAAGGAGAGCCGAGATTACAACAACTCGACAGATCATGAATTTAGTGGTTTATGTTAGTCCTAAATTGCCGAAGACTCTTTCGAATAGCTTCCCGTATGTTGCGTGAGCGGCTTTAATTCGGTTATCGACATCTTTTTCCTATATACAAGTACAGAAAAAAATCTGAATGCAAAAGCATGAAATTAATAGCACGATAAACAATTAATCGATAGGATTAATTGTTATCTGTAGATCACTAATATTTCTACGATTTCTACGAGAAAATAAAAAAATGTGTTCAATGGTTGCATTTTTTATTTTATTTTACTTGAACTGAGAATACAATCATCGAAAAATTCACAAGAACCTGAACAAGTACATCACTTAAGAAAGACAATCAAAAAGCAGAGAAAAAAACGCATTTAATCATTTAATATCCGGATAAGCTAGTATCCACGCCAATTAAACTGAAATAATTAAATCTTGATCGATAATATTAAGAAATATTGTTTCTGCTTATATTTGGATGTACGATTGGTTGAGAATTGTGTGACCTATAAGGGTTTTTTTTTTAATATGGGGAAAGACAAAGGCAGAAATGAAGCGACTGGATTTTTCAAATCGGAAACTCGTCTAACGTCCTGAATTCAAAATGGTTAGATCTTTCTCTCATAATCTGGAGTGTAACAACAAAACAGAAATGCAACATATACAAAATGAGACAAGGTCACTTTAACCTAGGAAATCCACAATGGAAAATTCGATACTTCAAATAATTTGCACTATCAAGCAGAAATTGTTATCTACCAATTAGGTCTGTGTTTTACTCGTTGGTTTGTAAAAGCAGAGGTCGATAAATAAAACCCGTAGGCTAAATGCTGTCCCTCTTGATAATTCATCCTGCCCACGGGCCATATGGAATGTGCTATTATTCTGAAATGAGTTTTTTTTTTCCATTTAATTATTACATATAATTTTTCAAAATGTAATCGACACGCTGAAGAACAAAAAATGAAAGTTAATCACGTTCATAAAAGCTTCTCAAACGAAAGTTATAGTGTTTTGAAATCCGATAATTACTTTCAATATTTAGCATAACATTTCTGTGAGAAGACATTTTTTCAGCTTCAGTTAGATATGTACCATGCGTGATCATGGATCTTTCGATACATGACTGACGAGGCAGATTTTTTCCCGCAGTAGGTTGCCATTTCTTTCTACGGTAGACCAGTTGCAATCCAAGGCTATAGAACCCGGTCTGTCCTGCTATTTACCCATAGCTTGGGGGGTAGAAGTAGAGGATACATACCTTTCCCAAGGGTTTTAACACGTAAGTGAATGCAATGGATTCGACTGGAAATCGAACTCGCTTCATCCGATTCCTCAATTCGAGCCGCTATCCATTACTCCACCGAAATTGACCAAATATTCTACTATTTCGGAGGTGTGTAACTGATTATTATTCTCATATCGGTTAATATAAATGTTTTTGTAGACACAATGTTTCAGCCAAGTACATTCGGGTCGTCATCAGGATATCTGTGATGTCAATTCGTTATTGCTTAATTGGTACTTCACTACTTGATCAAAAGATAGAAATAATGACAGTAACATATATACATGGTGATTGAAACGTAACTCCCTATTTTATGCATGATGGACTCTCCCGTCTTGTAAAATTTATAGTTAGATGGGAGAGTCCATCATTCATAAAACAGGGAGATACATTTCAGTCACCCTATATGACTAACACCTATAGCCATTACGCCACCGTCCCAAAGAACAGTCACTGTGTTTTTGGAGCTTATATTTAATATATAATCTTATATTCTCGGTCAGATTGTTTTTTGACATTTAATTATGATGGCGAGTTCATATCGCTATTCATAATTTAGTACAGTGGAAGCTCGGTTAACGAATTTAATTCGTTCCTGAAAGGCGTTCGTAACCCGAAGCTATTTTCTAATAGGAATCAATGTAAAAAAAATGTCCAGGTACAATAAAACTGGAAAAAAAAACACGCCACAACACACGAATGTATACAACGCGGTGATAGACTCGGAAATTATTCCGTTCGGCTTAACTCGGTTCGGCAATGTTGTTTGAGAACAGAAATTTCGTTCGATAACCGAGACATTTTCATCTTCAATTATCTGTTGGAAAACTGATTTGTTCGACATGTGAGACGTCCGAGAACCGAGGTTGCACTGTATTTCATTTCTGACATGAGTAATTGTATATTCTTGTATTATTTCGAATTATTGTTGCCAACTCGGTTGAAATAGATGTTATTACAGACCCAATGTTTCAACCTAGTACCCTCTGCTTATCATCGGGTATCCATTGATTGAGCGAATGGATACCTGATGATGATCAGAGTTACTTGGTCGAAATATTGTGTCTATAATAACATCTGTTTCAACCGAGATGAGAACAATAATTCGAAATAATACAAGAATATTTATAGGCAATTTTCATAAGAAGCACAAATTTTAAACCAAATTTTGACTTTTTATCTCAGGAATAAAAAGGACTTCATCATCTTCAGTGATTTTCAACTGCTTAAAGAATTGGATCAAAGTTTATGCTTACTCAAAATATATAGCCTAGTTTAAAAAAAGAATTGTCAACAAGTTTCTATTTTTTCTTTATGTTTAATTCCAAATAACTGGTGGAGCTACAAATGCTAGATGTGGTAAGAAACTTAAGCAGACTTCTGTGGATATGTTGCATTGTAAAATTGACTGTTTCTGATTGGTTTATTTTGTTTTACGGCATATCAACCTCAGTGGGTTATTTAATACCAACAAGATTTTCAGGATAGGTTCATATAAATATAATATGTATTCTTTGTAAGAAATTAGTTTGAAGATCAGGTTTCATAGACGTATTTTTGTAAAGAGAGTTTTTGTTGAGAGACAAATGTATTGCTGGTAATACTTTTTAATGTGCTGCTGGTAATTTTTTTTTCTTTTCAAAAATATATTGCTGGTAATATTTTTTAATGTATTGCCGGTAATATTTTTTTTCAAAAATATATTGCTGGTAATATTTTTTATTCTATTGCTGGTAATATTTTTTTTTACATGTACTGCTGGTAATATTTTTCTTTTCTTTTTTCTCAAAAAATTATTGCTGGTAAAATTATTCTCAAAAGTATATAACTGGTAATATTTTTTTCTTTAAAAATTTATCGCTGGTCATGATGGACCTGCGAACAACAGCAATTAAGAGGTGGCCCCACGCTCCTCAAAAGCTTCCGATCAGAGGCCTTGCTGCTAGGTGTAGTTTATCGTCATACCCAGGACGCCTCATTAGAGCGGTTTAACTCTTTGAAGAGGTGCAGAGCATATTCTGAGGCCCCAACGAACTGTTTCTGGTTGTGTTGTAATGCGTTCTAAAAGTTTGTATCTCATGTACCAAATCAGCATTAATTATTGTTTCGAAACTCTGCAACGAATTTGCTTGTGTTGTATCCGCACATTGCTCATCAACAAAATTGAGCTGAGAACACAATCATCGAAAAATATACAAGAAACTGAACAAGTACATCAAGACAATCAGCAAGCAGAAGAAAACGTACTAAATCTTTTAATGACTGGGTAAAGTCTGTCCGTCTGCTAACGTCAGCGTTTTATTATTATTATTATTATTATTATTATTATTATTATCACGTTAACAGAATGTTATCCAGCTGCATGCCCTTTAACAATTACCAAAATGCTTGCTATTTCCCACTGTCTCATTTTGATCAGCACTTTTGATAAGTCATCTCTTATTTGTTTTAAAATCCTCAAATTACTAAAAAAAAAAGAACAAAAACAAGAAAAAGAACAAAAGGTGGGGGTTGCTTTTAACACAGTAATTTCTGCTCGGAATATTCATTGAGGAACGAAAGATTAACGACTTTTTGCTAATTTCCCAACCACTACAATACGACTAGGTAACAAAATGAGTTAATCTTCAAAAGTTGACGGAAAGCAATCAATCAACATTCGATTAACCGATTTTACCATTTCGGTATTACGAATAATTTACATATACTTTTATCTTTTTTGTTTACTTTTTCATCATCACGCTCCCGGTCGATATATTCTTCGGTCTTCAAATTGGGGGATTTCCTAACAATTTTGTTCGGACGATTAAACATACTCCTCCTTAAAAAAGGATGAGGATGGTCGCAAAAATGTTCTGAATGACTAAAATACTTTATTTCAAAAACTCTGACAATTTAAAATAGTTTTTGTGGGTATTTTTTTTTTTAATTTCAGGTTGTAAAACCGTATGAAGGAGAGAACGTGATAAGTTTGATGTCAAACGAGAGAAAAAAGTTTAGTATGTTTCTAGACATGATCCACGAGGCTGACCTTGCCGAAGAACTGATCCAGTCGAATCCACTCACGATTTTTGCCCCAACTAATCGCGCCATCCGAAAACTGACGCCAAGTGTGAGAAACAAACTAAGGAATAAAGAAACACTTAAAAGTAAGTACTACACTTTTTAAGCGCTTTTCTTTTCTTTTTTTCTTTTTTTTTCCTTATTTTTGCATTTTTGTCTTCTTTAGTTCTTTCAATTACATTTTGCCTTTGTTTTTCTTTTTCTATTTACTTCCTTGATTCTTTCTATTTATTATTGTTTTTCCTTTTCTTTTTTCTTTTTTCTTTTACTCTCTTTATTCTTTCTATTATTTTTTTTCTTTCATATATATATATATATATATATGATAAAATATGGTTTTAAAGTATGCTATATTTATCTAACACAACAGCTGACTAGCCCTGTTTCATCCTCAAGCGAAAATTTAGGAATCTTCCTAAATTTTCACTTGAGGATGAAACAGGGCTTGATACTTTAACTCAATTTAATTTCAATAATTATATTGAGGTTTTTGGCTCTCGTTTTTGTACATGAGAACTCTTATGTAGCGAAGGAATCATATTTTTTTTAAAATAATTATAATATATATATATATATATTAATCGATATGACTCCAAACCAGGCAGTAATGCCACTAAAACACAAGGGGTTACAGGGTGTAGAAGAATTCGGAGCAGAAACTTAAATGACCAGAAAGAGAAGAGGGTAATCAGGAGAAAAGTAGATAGCGATTGATATTGCAATTAAATTTTTGCAGATTAAAGTTAGCTGGAAAGTCGGAAGGGAGTTCCACAAGCGAGAAGGGCGAGAGAAGAAGCTGTTAAAATAGAATTTACAGATACATCTATCCAGCTCAACTGTAAATTGATGACATCTCGACGCCAGTCTGGTGCTGCGCTTAAATAAATAAAAAATTCAGGGTACCATAGCGAAGAACCCATCTGAAGAATTATCATGAAAGTATTTATAAAACAATTATTTGTCTGCAAACCTCTCGAGCCGAAAAGCATAACACAGGAGCTTCTTTCCCGTTATCTTTAATTACCGATTATTTATCTGATATGTTGAGTTTTGTGATATATATATATATATATATATATATATATATATATATGATAGAATTTTTGGGAGGTTTGAATAATTTCTCATAACCATACTTATTATAAAACCCAGGTTGTGTGTGTGTGTGTGTTTCGTTTATATATTGGATCGGATTTCTTACATTTTTCAACCGATTTCAACAAAACTTCACAAGACTACGTAAAATTACCTGGCGGTGGTTCTGACAGCGCCAAAAATTGGAAAAAACACAATTGTTTTTGCACAAAATCAATTTGAAAACGTGATTAAGAGGCATCGCTGTCGAGAATGAAAGGGAGACAACTCATATCGAGTTATACTTATTATAAAACCCAGGTTGTTTGTGTGTGTTTGTGTCTGTGTTCGTTTATATATGGTATCAGATTTCCTACATTTTTCAACCGATTTCAACAAAACTTCACTTTTTTTTTTTTTTTGGCAGGTAGTGTTTCTTCTGTTGTCTTGCACACTTATTTCTTTATTTTTTCATCCAGAATGCTTTAAAAATTCCATTTACAAGACAATTGTTTATAATAAAATTCTATTCAATCGGTAGACTCATAGCGATTGAAAACAATGCTTTTGTTTGAGTTTGGGTTTGACCAATTCGTAAAAAAAAAAAACCCAAAAAACAAAAAAAAAAATAATTAAGACATGCGTGTCCGTCAACCTTAAATATAATATTTGTCAATTTTATTTTTCAGTCTTTATGATGCTCGATACTTGATCTATCTCTTACTGTTACATCCTCGGGCTGGTGCTAGTAATTCATAATTCATCGAGTCTAGAACAACAATCCTCAACAGAATGCAAAAAACACTGGATGGCCGTTTCGTTCTTTTATAGACTCCTCAGCAGTGCACATCCACTACCAGGAATCGAATCCGGACCGTTACGATACAACGCAAGCATCATACCACTGGGCCAGCGGATCTTGCTTATGAAGAGGAAACTAACTAGACTACTAGAGCTACTTATATATATTTACTCTTCGTCATCCATAAACAGATCGTTTCGCTGTATCACAATTCATCAGTGTGGCTAGACATCCGATCGCTTCAAGCCGGGACCGAAACCCGACCGACTTGCTATCGGAGATTCTAACCCCTAGGCCATCGACGCCCGTCAGAGGCGAATTTTTGTGTATTTATTTTTCATAAACACACCAGTCACTTAGAGAACTCAGTCGGCTTGGAGAGTCAGGCATCGTCAGTAGTAATAGTGACTGTTTACAAATTCGCTCTTTACTCCCTATAGTGATCGATCGATTAAATTATTCTATCGAGAGCTAATATATGAGGGGTCAGTGAAAAAGGTTTTAGTGTATGGAAAGGATGTGTTAAGTTTGTGGAAGATCATGTTGCCCTTCGGAAGAAACCTTATTGAAACCTTTACAGAATTCCTTTTCGTAATATTGCTCTAAATTTATCCCATTCTCTGGTGCGATTTTTTTCATAAACATTTACCACGAGTTACTCTTCTATCATATAACATCTATTTGATAACCATAATATTAATTAAATTTTTCACAAGAAAGAATACGATGAAAAAAAGTAAATATAATAAACCGCGAATTTTGTTCTCATGCTGAATGTTATTTTGATTTGTGTCAATATGTTTCTTTCGTCGACGCCAAATGTCACATCTTAACCTTCTGTTGAGTTTTAGTTGTTCTTAAACTTAAATTCCTCCAGATGGCAAGCATAACGAAGAATGTGCAGTACATGCACGTTTATTTTCTTCTTCCATTGCTCTTTGTTTGTTTCTCTAATGTCAAAATAAAAATAAATATCGCCAACTGATTAAATATATGAGAATAAAGAATATAAACGAAAGGGTTAATGGTTGAATATGTAGGAGTTCACTGCTTTTTCATTCCAACAATCCTTTCACAAATACAAATCAGGCAAGGTACAAGATGAGAAAAAAACATGTATATGCTTATATTTGATTATTTAGTATGTTACATCAAATTTGACAGAAGATAAAGGTCGGCATTAAGTTGCGGCAATGATACAGGTGGGGGTGAATTAGGTGACGATCATGGAATACAACATTAAAAGATGTTTTTATACTCGAACACTAATAACAAGTACAACAAACGAAATTTAGTATATATATATATATATATATATATATATATATATATATATGGGGAGAGAAAGAAAGAGAGAGAACGAGAGAGAAAAAAAGAGAGAAATATGCTCAACCGCAACACTGAATGCCACACTTATTAAAAGAGAAAGAGACTTACTGAGAGGGAAAATTCTCGTGCGTGCCGGGATCGTATCTTATCAAAATATAAATCTACGCCCCGGATTTTTTCAAATATCTCCCTTCCCGAAAGAATTACTATTTTCCCAAGCCAACATGCATGACTGTAAAAATGTTAAAAGGGTAAAAGAAAACCGTTAAGTTCATAAGCTCTTTATATATATATACATATATATATATATATATATATATATATAGAGAGAGAGAGAGAGAAAGAAAAGAGAGAGAGATAAAGTTTGTTTTCTTTCTCCTTTTAGATAGATATAAATTGAGAAAGAGAGAGATTATATATATATATATATATATATATATATATATATATATATATATATATATATCTATTTCTCTCTCTCTATCTATTAAAAAAGAGAAAAACAAACTGTTTCTAACATTTTCTTTTTAAAACCTTTTTCCCTCGAGATTGATTTGATTTTGGCAAAATAAAAATTCGAGGGTTTTTCGAAAACGAGTATAGTTACCTATATTTTTATATATATATATATATATATATATATATATATATATATATATATATATATATATATGGTCTATCTAGATAGCAATAATTTTTTCAAATATGTTTGATTAAATAATATCGACAAATTCTGTACATCAAATTCTTTATTAAATTTTTCAAATTTCTAAATGAATGGTTTTATGTTATCCGTAAATTTTCCCGGAGTTAATATTTATTTTTATTTTTACCCAGTACTTTCGAATGTTGCTACATTCGTTTCCAAGGATTGTGTTTTGCGTATATTTACTCCACTGTTTTTGTTTCCAGCGTTCTCACGTCTGATGGAACTAATTTATATATATATATATATATATATATATATATATATAAAAGTGAATGACAATAATACTTTTTGTTGTTTTTATGTATTTTTATCTACATAAAAGACATTAAAACAGCAAGTATTTTGACATGAGAGAGAACAATAAAGTTTTTGGCGGGAATCGCAAAATCTTCAGCTGCTTCTTCAGCCTTAGTCAATGTTTGATACTAAGTAGTGATTTTTCGACTGGCTAAAATTTCAAATCCAGCAGACATTAATGGCTCCAGAGCGAGAATCACCAAACATTTGGCCGTAGCACCTGATAAAGACCTTTATTACCTCTTCCTCATTTTCAACGCATGAGTCTGTCCATTACTCTAGTCAGAGGACGCCTACTATAAGTGGAAAGATTCTTTTTGTCTTATTACTGTGTTGATATGAGTGTATATGCGAGAATATAAAATGAAGAGTATTGGACAATAATAATAATACACGTATTAGTTGGTCACGTCTGTCCTGACGAATCGAACTTACTGTTTTTTCGAAGCAAACAACATTCTTCCCCTGGAACAGAAGGGATGCAGGAGAGGTTCATATGGCTGCAAAGATCAACTACTGATAAACAAAATAATCCTGGAAAATTGCAGAAGGCGATGTAGAAATCATAGCGCAGCGTCGATTGATTATCGTAAAGCCGTTGATAGTGTGCCACTCTCTTGGATCCTTAAGATTTGGGAAATAGACAAAGTTTTCCCTGTGGTAGTATGGTAGATCTTCAGACACTAAAATTTGGAGGCTGAATATCTTGTGCCCGGAAACTTGCTAAGACAAGAATTTTAAACGTTTTCCGTGTAATTTTAAATGCCAGACTACATTTTCACTCACTCTCTCACTCACTCTCTCTCTCTCTCTCTCTCTCTCTCTCTCTCTATATATATATATATATATATATATATATATATATATATATATATAATATAATTTAATCAGACGTTTCTCAGATGTATAAAAAGAGATAAAAGTTCGATTCCTACTGGTAGGTACATTTTTCTTTAATAGAACTTAATATCCTGTTGTTATTAATTTCACGGTTTAAGATAATAAATGAACATGTTTAGTTACTAAAAGTGACATTTATAGTAATAACACACACGCACACACACACATATATATATATGTGTGTGTGTGATGGAAAGGGCGTATGTATGTATTATCCATAGATGCTAAATTCGCAATACTTACTTAAGGCCGACTAAAAGTTTTGTGACGTTAACACGCCCCAAGGTCAGAAATAAAATAATATTAATGATAATAATTCTTACTTGACTCTGAGGACCGATAACAACGCGAAACGCTCAATCGTTCTGAAAAAATTATCATGGAATTTTTATTTATCGATAATAATTATTACTGTAAATATCTATTGAGCATTCTTTTGATAAAATTTGATAAAATTCTGCTAACCTTGACACGCGTTACATTGTGCTATTTTTACGTATATCAATAGATGTTAATGTATTCAATAAATCAAGTGTACGTGTGAGTGTGTGCTTGTTGATGTGACTGTTGGCTAAGAAAAGCTCCAGAAAATTTTGGTATTGAGCTCTGTTACTTTTAATTGTTGTATATTTAACAATATACAACAATTTATATATTTAACAATTTAATATATAATATTAATATTGTGCATTAAATTGTTTTGTTAATAACATGCATTAATTCTCGTTTCTTTTAAATTCAATATTTTATGTGTGTTTTTTTATATTTTACAATATGTTAAATTTAACAATATACAACAATTTATATATATTTATGTTGTAGAGTAGTTTTCACAGTGGAGGCTTGTATTTCGCTAAGTCGATCCTAAAAAGGTCCGACGTGCAAAACGTTAGGAACTTGAAATAAGAGTTAATGACGCAGCAATCTAGTTGTGATGGTTGATACTTCAATGTCCGACATCGACTGACTCACTCAACTCGACTGAGCTCAACTGGCGACCGCTACTACTACTACTACTACTACTACTTATTATGTGTGGGAGAGTCTATTACAATAGAATAGGTGATGTTCTGGTATAACAATTTAACAATAATGAAAGTCAATATTATAAATATCATAAAATCCAGGATACCGATGAGGGAAAAGTGTCCTGCTATTGGTAGTGTCTATTTAATATTTGTCTCTCAAATCTTACCGTTATTGACTCGTCTAAAACTGACATAATGTCACAGGTATGAAAGATTTAAAGACAGAACGCGCTACATTAACAACAATATGCGAAGTCATCGACTGGCTACAACACCACGACGGAGAATGTGTGACAAATCTTATTATCAATAATTCAGTTTCTCAAAAGTCCACCATTATACAAACAATGTTGTTTATGAATTCGCATGTCTTTTGTTAGATTTCCGATATCAATAATCAAAAATCAGCATTAAATTCTTACATTGGTTCCACATGCCCACACTTTCTCGTAGGTTGACTTGTCACTTAGCCATATCGATCATCTCATCACAAGCAAACAAAAATATAGAATTATTAACATATGACAATATTAGGAGATAATACCAAAATATTATATAACACTCACTGCAAGGAAAGACTCATATACTCAAAGCTATTAATTTACAAATGAACCGGCATAAAAAAAAATATCTTTCACCATAGAAAACGGGTATAAAATATTTAATAAACACTTAAAATAATAACATGTCTAAATATTTCATTCATTCTTTTCCGGTGTAGTCGGCAAACCATGACATCACTTATATGATATATTTGAATTCTACTACTTCTTATGTGCCATGTCCTTTCAGGACGTAGGCGATCATGGCTCTCCATCTCCCTCTATCCCTTGCAGCTCTCAACAAGTTCCTTCTATCTGCTACCCCCCCCAGACCACGTTCTGTCATCCACTTGCTCAAGTTCGCCAGTTATGTCACGCGCTGCTTTCCCTTGTCTCTCTTTCCTTCTATTCGACCCGTGAGTATCAGATTCTCCAGGCCCTTCTTCCTCGTTATGTGTCCCAGAAAGTTCAGCTGCCTCTTCCTGATGTTAAGTATAAGCCTCCTCCTTGTTTGCATTCTCTCATTGTTGCTCACACGCTCGGTTCATGATATCCTCAGCATCCTTCTGTAGAACCATATCTCCGTCACCTCGAGTCTCTTCTTCATCTTTGAGGAAATCGTCCAGCATTCGTTGTCGTAAAGAAGGACAGATATCACGTAACAGTTCAGTATTCTTTTCTTTGTTACCAAAGAAATCCTCCTGTCTCGCAATTGAACTGTACTGGATTGTACTGAACTGTACTTCACTCGGTTTGCGCGCGCTGTGTACCTTATTAAGTTATTGTGTTTTGCTCAACATACGGAAAATAAATGATAAGTAATTCAGGACGTTTTATACGTTGCCATTTAATCAATGGAAAATATATTTAAGGTTTTGAATCTCATTTATTATTTGTTCTCTTTTTTAACAGAATTCGTATCTCATCACGTGACTCGAAAAATCATTTGCGGCGATGCGATTGTCATTTCGTGCGGCTTGACCAATATGAACGGGTATCGTTTAAAGGTGTCCTGCACTCCAGAAGGACATTTCGTCGCAAACTCTAAGCTTATCGAGCACGACATGGTGGCCGACAATGGAATCGTCCATGCCATAGACACCGTTCTTCTACCCGATGCAGGTCTGTATATGAAACAAGGAATGGCAACTTCCGAGAACCGGCATTTTGTATGATTTTTTTTTCCTTGCTTTGTTTTCTTTTTGTTTGTTATTTGGGAGGGTGTATTTTTAATTGTGGGTTATTATTGTGACTATTGGACTCCCGTACACGCACATACACACACATACACACACGCTTGTTTCACATACATACAAGCAAGCATATCCATATAACTAGATTTTAATACCTTTTCCTTTGATTTCATATGCGTACAATTGTTTTGTTAATAACATGTATTAATTCTTTTTGTTTTAAATTCCATATATTGTGTGTTTTTGTTTTACCCTCTTTCTCTCTCCCTTTCTTCTTATTCTGTCTTTTCACCATTTCTTTACTTTTCCCTTTTTTTTTTGTTTTTCTTCCTTTCTTTTCTTCTGCCTTCTTCTAAAATTTACCTTGGGTCTGGTTTCTTTTTATTTTATTTTATCTTATTACCTTGATCGGTTTGAAAATACTTGCGACTAAATCTTAATTAGTAAGGTGAAATGATCATAACATGAAGTAATTTTAAATTCCATTTGTATGTGATTTATTTACTTCGTTTGAATAGATACTTTGAGCTCTCTTTGTGGATCAGTTTTAATATTTTATATTATTAGGATTCACTTGGATTATATACCAACGGATTATTACCTATATATATATATATATATATATATATATATATATATATATATATATACATATACATATATATTAATCATTTCATCCCAAGCAAGGTGGGAATGCCACTAGAACGCAAGGGGTTACAGAGAGTGAAAATGGAGAAAAGATTCATATAGGGAGGGGTGAAGAAAGGATAAAAGGTGAACGGGATTCAAGAAGACAGAAGATGTCGATTCATGTTGCATTTAATTTTTTGAAGATCGTAGTTATCAGGGAAGTAAGTAAACGGAAAGGAGTTCCACAGGCGGGAAGTGCGATAAAATAAACTTTTGGAGTAGAAGTTGCGATTACATTTAACTCTTTCAACAGTAAAAGTGTGGGACCTAGATGCCAATCTAGTAGCACGCATAAATTCACGTAGTCCGGGCACCAGGAAAAAAAACTCGTCAGAGCACTTACCTTGAAAAATATTTGTAAAAAAAAGACAGAGGGAAGCCACATCACGTCGGTACGAAAGTGACTAAAGTCGAGATGCCAAGTCAGGATAGATCACATTACAGGCCCTTCTTTGGGTTTTGTCAAGAACCTCGAGATTAATAGCAAGAGCGCCAGACCAGATATGGCAACAGTATTCAATTCACGGACAAATGGTAGATTTGTAAATATGCAAGATAGACTTTGATGAAGAAAACCTTCTGGCACGACACATTGACACAAATTTCCTAGCAGTAGATGCAGCTACTGATTCGATATAGTCGTTAAACTTCGAGTCAGTTGAAAATGTGAGGACAAGAAGGCGCAGTGTTGCTCTCTAGGAGTTTAGCATCTTTATGGTGGTTAAATGAGAGCAGTTTCATTTTGGAGGCATTAAAATTTACGAGTCATTTCCTGCCCCAGTTAAACAGTGATTGAAGATTCTTTTCAAGGGCAGCGGTCAGCTTAACTTTGTCAGCTCTGACGGATTTGCTATTAAGACAGGAATAAATGGGAGTGTCATCTGCATAAATGCCTACTTGGGAACTGATGACATCAGGAAAATCATTGATGAAGATCAGAAACAGCGCAAGGATCCTAGATAGAGCCTTCATGTGTGTGAAAGGATCTGGAAGCGAGCCCGTATAAAACGACCTTCATTTTATGAGTTGATAGGAGCGACTGGATTGAATCAATCTTCACTTAATACCGTACCCCTGAAGCTTATGCCATCGTCTCAAACCCTGTCAATATATATATATATATATATATATATATGTGTGTGTGTGTGTGTGTGTGTGCGTGCATTAGGATGGATTTTTATTAATCCGACTCGTTTTTATCATCTTAAACGTTATTTTTAGTGGATATTCGTATTTGAGTAGATGCTCAGTTTATTTATTAAACAGTATATTTATTTGTTTTCGCCTACCGGCCTGAATGTCTTTAGTAAAGAAAAATTTGCTCCCTGAGATTCGATTCCTGCTGAAGAACGCAAACTTTTTATTAATAAGATTTCTTTGACATTCAGGCCGGTAGGTAAAATAAATAAATATACTGTTTAATAAATAAACAGAGCGCCTACACAAATATGAGTATCCACGTTTATATATATATATATATATATATATATATATATATATATATATATACATATATATATATATATAACGTTTAATATATATATATATATATATATATATATATATATAATGTTCGCTTGTTGTCTAGTTCCTACTCTTTCCTGGTTTTTGAGCAAGAGTAGAGGTTTAGCCCACGTTACTTGCTAGAATGATGTTTCCTGTTTCTTCTAAAGTTATCTCATTCTCTTTCGCTCCCCAATAAACCCTTGCGTCTTAGTGGAATAGTCACCTTACTTGGGGTGAATTGATTAACATATATATATATATATATATATATATATATATATATATATATATATATATAGTGGGTATAGTTTGTCTCTGTGTAAAAGTGCACACACACCTAGTCGGTCATCCAAGACTTCCAACACCACAGCTGGTCGATGAAGTGACGGCTTCAATCCAGACCTACCCTATCCCATGTTGTGATTTTTAGATCAGCCAAGATCGAATCGTCGCAGGTATTTTCGTGTTGGGCTAGTCCAAGCAGGGCGATGACGTACAGGGAAAAATAACACTGGAATAAAATGAACAGATGTAATTAGTGTTTTTATAACAGTCTCCGTATAATTGGTTTATATCAGAGTTCGCATGCAATTACTTACCAGCCTGCATCTAATCGGAAGTGATACTATCGTCGACCCGGGATAAATCTGGTTTACTGTTTTGGTTGGGGGTGTAGGGAATAGGTAAATTTATAATTTGATAAATCTCAAAAATACTTCCCCTATTTAATAATGGAATAGACATCACAACTATTACCTACTTATTTTGTAGCATTTAACACAACCCAGTGAGTTGTAATACTTCCATAATTTCTGTCCACCGATAGCCTCAAATGAAAGGCTAACTCAGCTTGTATTTTTAGCAATAATTCCTAAAAGTGTTCAGGAGTCACTATGCTTGGGGACAAATGTCCTAATGATAGCGTATCCCAGTGAGCCCTAATATGCTCCAATAAAATCGTCAGGGACTGTCGCACCTTATTAGTAATAGTTACCAACTGGAATCACTGTTGCATAAACCCACTCAATTCTAACAGCATTACTATTTTTTTTTAAATCGATGTCTATAAATTTATCACAGCAGTTTCAAATTTGGCATATAATATGTTTGTTGGGTTATGAATAAGAAATGTATTACCAAAGTTCAATGAATTGTTAATAAAAGAAATTATTTGAGAAATAAAAAAAAATGAAAGGTAAAAAAGTGTCCGGACAATCAAAAAAATACTTAATACTTGATTGCGTGACCATTGTTAGTGAACACTGCCTTTTGGTTTTTTTCTATAATAAATATAATTGTTTTCCTATAATAAATATAATTGCTATAAATGTTTAAATAAATAATTTTTATTAAAAAAGGTTCTTACATTGATTAGCTGATAATCAACTCTTTTGTTTTTTGTTCACGATGTTTTGGCCGTTATCCCCAAGGATATATGGCCCAGTGGATAAAAGTGTTGGTTGAAGTAATCCAAAAATGACTTGAACCAAAGAGTTCCGTGTTCAATACCTGACCGCAGCAGAGGTGAACAAAAAAAACTTGGAGTGTTGAGTTACTAAAGGGTATTAACTGAGATATCCAGAAAAGGCAAGGCACGTAGACCTAAAACAATCTACCCCCGTGTACTAAATAAAGGTTCGATTCGAAATTCCAAAGTATATCACCTGAAGAAGGCCGGGGCATACAGCAGCCGAAACGTCGTGAATATGACAATAAAGATGAACAATGTAAATACTTACAATATCTCATCTCAGAAATATAGACATATGCTGAAATTCTTTACAAGTCATTTTTAGCTGTTGTTTGACCTTTCGAACAATTCTTTGGCAGGAACATCGTGAATTTTTTCTTGAAGCACATTATCTTTGTCGAATTTAGAACCATATTACTTTTTTTCCATTTTTTTTTTTAACTGCGTACTGAAGCGAAATTTTTGAAACACTGATCTGCTTCGAAAGTTTTCTCAAGACTTTCCTTTCTTTTATTCTTTTAAAACATTATTCCTGACATCCAATGGTTGTTCTTTTCTTTTCAATATAGAGGGTGTGTTTGCTTTTCTGAAAGCAGTTTTAAACTAATTAATTTATAGAGAAATTGATTTTAAAAATTGTTTTACAGCCTAAGTAATAATAGAATTTTAATATATAAATTAATTCTAAGGGAATTAAAAAATAAAATGCCAATTAATTGGTATTCATTAATATAATTGCACAAAAAGCTATAATGGTATGGGCACTTTTTTCTCCCTGATTTATAATTTTGTAACTTTGGTAATAAAATTTCTAATTTCTAACATTATAAACTTATTACACACTATATTTGAAAGAGTTGAGATGAATTTACAGCTGTTTATTTTAATTCATAATATATATATATATATATATATATATATATATATATAAAGTTGTAGCCTCAGTCTGTCTATCTGTTATCGAACTCCTCCTCGGGTTTTGGGGATAGACCCCCATAACCATATATATTCTGAAACTACATTACGCAGGGTACTTGGATAAGTATATTTCATTTTAATCAAATGGGGTTCCCCTTGCATAAACACCGCCACTGATTTTTTTCCTTTTGATTTAAATTAAATTTAAATTTGAACAAGGGAATGACTCCTATCTAAAATATAGGAGAAAGTCAAAATATAAAGGTCACATCGGCAAGACCATTTTTCTCAAAGGGGTCCCCGGAGGCACAACCTTCCTCCCCCCATCACTGAATTTTTTTTTCCCTTTGATTTAATTTAAATTTGAACAAAAGAATAGCTTCTAGGGTACTTAGATAAGTATATTTCATTTTGATCAAAGTGGATCCCCGGAGGCAAAACACCGCCACTGAAATTTTTTTCACTTTGATTTAAATTAAATTTAAATTTGAATAAGGGAATGACACTTATCCAAAATATAGGAGAAAGCCAGAAGATGGAGGTTACATCGACAAGATCAAAATGAGACAATATAGACGTCAAGTTGAGCAAGAAATCACCAATCAGTGTGAAGTGCCTTACAATACATATTTGTTGCGACAATTCAACTGTCATATCAATGTTCAAATCTGCTATGTTGAACCCTAGATAATGGTAAGACATTAGCTAGATAAAGATGTCATTGCCACACATGTCTTACCATTATGTGGGAGGTATTTCTGAGAGGTATGTGTGGGAGGTGTGTCTGCCGCACCCTGTATAAAAAACGCAACAAATTACACAGCACGATTAACCGCGTTACTTAAAATGATTACGTTGCGACTTATGTAAATATAAATGCAGTCTTGGTTATAAAAAGGCATTGTTGAATTGTGATACTATTTGTTGTTACCATGGTAAAACATAGGAAGGAGCGATATACTGAAATACTTTGGAACAAGAAGGGTTAATACCTAAAATCCGTGGGAAAAGATTGACGATTTAATTCACATATAGACGACACCTGGAATTGGTGTACCAGATGTTTGAACAATGAAAAATGACCCAGACTTAGAGGACAATTATGGTTGATATATGTTCTACGCATCTGAAAATGCAAACTGTAAAGCGAAAATGTCATTTTTGTAAACAACGAATTTGAAGTTGATTTCTCCCGGTCGAAAGTTGATTTGAAATACCAGGAGTGGGTTGATAAGCTGAGGATATTTATTGAGAGGTAATAATATGGGAGAGTGGAAGAAGGGAAATCCCAAGGATTATGAAGTAAGGTAACAACAAAAGGTATTTACCGGAATTCCCCTATGCGCCGTGTCTCGCGCCAGTTTGAGTAAATGTCAATAAACACGAATGCTCGAAGCGAATTCGTCAGACAAGACGGAGTCGGAGACAGGAGAGAGACAGCAGAGAGTTCGTCCCAGCCACTGGTTGTGATACCCCACCAGGTGATTGCCTGACAAAGAAAAGCCTTCGATTTCAGTCTTGTGCCGAATTTAACCAAAACAGCAAACCAAACTTTACCAAGTAAACAATAATATCACTTCCGATTTAGATGATAATTAATTCTGATATAACCAATTATTGTACGAAGAAATAAAACAGTATTTACTTTTTGTTCAGTTTATTCGAGTGTTATTTTTTCCTGTACGTCTTCGTCCTGCTTGGACCAGTCGAACACGAAGATATCTGCGACGATTGGATCTTGGCCTCTTTATGATCAAACTTAAATCACAACGTGGGATAAGGCAGGCCTGAGATCGAAGCGATCTTCATCGATCATCCGCGGTGTTGGAAGTCTTGGACAATCGGGAAGGGTATTGGACGATTACAGAATATTTACAGCTAATTTGTTTAGATAATGCCCGATCGTTTGCGTCACGTGGCAATAACTGCAAGTTAAAATGATGCGCTAAAATAAGTAACCAAGTAATCGTTTTAAGTTCTCTCAATATCGGTGCCTATATGAAATACAAAATTCCTTAGCTACACGAGTTTCTCTCCGATGATCAGGAATCGTCAGGCCAGGTTATATTTGTATAATTATGGATGAACGCTAATTTTAAATATGAACGCCATTTTTTCTTTGTATAGACCCGGATTTAAAACTTATCCGGGTGCCATATTTACCCGTAAGTATTTCTTGGTATGTATATACATCCCGATAGTATTTATGTTCAATAACGATTTGAGGTATTGAAATATCAGAATTGCCAGAATTGTATACACACACGCACAATACACACAACACACAAACACACACACTCAAACACACACACCCAAATATACCCAAACACACACACGCACACAAACATTTTCTTTACTCTATATCTACTTCTCTATTAATGCATTGTAATGTTTTTCCTATAAAACTGGTTGATACGTCGTTAAATTAATCTGCCTAACAAGAATATATATATATATGTGTGTTTGTGTGTGTGTGTGTGTGTGTGTGTGTGTGCACGCGTGTGTGTGTGTGTGTGTGTGTGTGTGTGTGTGTGTGTGTGTGTGTGTGTGTGTGTGTGTGTACAAAGCCAGATTACCCTGAAGATCTGTTTAGGTGAAACCTAGGTAGGTTGTTCCTGGCTCCTTAGGATTTATTTTATTTATCCCAGTTCTGCTTAGCGTATTGAGCACTCTATGTTTTAGCTCTATTGATCGCTTGAGGTTTTTTCTTTGGACTAAAAACTTAAGGCACTTGACGATTTCTTTCGCCCTGTTCGGATGTTTCTAGTTCTTTCTTTTTTTTCCAATTTTTCCTCGGGTACGAATTTGTTTTGATACACTTACAAGTTGTACTATCACAGTTTGTTTTACCAACCGAATATTATTATTTTTATTTTTATTATTATTATATATATATATATATATATATATATATATATATATATATATATTATACTCTATGTTTATAGTGAAGAATATGGTGGACTTAGCGAATGATCTGAAACTGCACAAATTCCTAAATATTTCCAAAGATGCAGGAATGACCGAAACTCTGAGAAAAGAAGAGGACTTCACCCTTTTCGCTCCAACAGACGATGCATTTAATTGTAAGTTATACAGTCTTTATCATAATGTTCTATGCTCTGACCATTATAACTGATTATCGTGGCACACGTGCCAGATTATTTCTTTCTTGTTTAATAAATGCCTGTATTTTCTATAAATATCCCATCTTCATCACGACAATCACGACTAAAACATTATTATTATTGTTTTATCACACAGTGTAAGTTTTTTTAAGACACCGTTTATATTAACTTATCTTTCAAGTCACAATAAGGACAGACAGATGGCACTTTCCTCAAAATATGCACAGTGCCCAAAATAGCCGATTTTTGTATGACTCTAAGTTGGAATGGTATTCACAGCTAGCCAAGAAAGTTACACAGTTTTATTAGTATTATAGCACCATTATTATATTTCGATTTCTGCTAGGGTCACACTACCTACCAAATCTGCGGGAAGACTTAAGGTAGGTAGTGGCCTGTTGTTATGGCTACATTTCATGTTACATGGACAAAGGTTCTTAGTCTGTGGGCTGTAATTACCAAGGCAATTTTTTGTATTTCTCTTAAGCTGGGATTTTCATGGATTTTTTTCGCTGTGTTGTTGTATTCTTTTTTTTATCATTCCAAGCGCACCTACTACTGGTACTATTCTTGTTTTCGATTTCTACATTTTTTCTATTTCGATTTCGAGGTCAATAGTTTTCCAAATTCCTTGATTTACAGTCCGCTGGGCAAGTCATATCAATTAGTAGGCAAGTTTGTTTTTCTTTTCTTTTCGGTTTTTGACAATTATGTCCGACCTATTTGTTTCAATCTTCCTGTCTGTAAAAATGGTGTAATCCCTTAGAATTGTGTAAGTCTTCTATTTCTGTAATCGGTGCTGGGTGATGTTCATACCATTGTTTTTTAACATCTTTTCCGAAGTGTTTGCACATTGTCCGGTGTAAATATTTCCCCCTCTTATATTTATTTGGCGCAAGTGCAGAAGATCCTGAAATTAGAAGGTCTACGGTTTCCTGATATTTGTCACAGAACCTGCATTTTGGATCCACACTATTATGTATGATATTTGCCTAAAAGTTCTTTGTGAAAAGACTCTGGTCTTCCGCCACAAGAATAAAGCCTTCCGTTTCAGCCCCTAATCCATATGTTTGTTACCATCGATATTAACTTTATGAACATCGGCTTTATTAGCACGTTTTGGATATTGGCCATGCAGAGCTTTGTCTTGCAGGCGTTGTTTCCTTTGTTCAAAAGCTTTAACCTTGGCTTTCTTTTTCATAGTTCATAGTTTTTGCTGCAACAGTTCGTTCTTGGGTTCTGTTTTGGCTTTCTACAGAATCTACCAAATGTAAATTTCGTTTGTATTTACAACCTTCTTTCGTGATTGAATATTTTTTCTTTCTTTTTTTGTGTTGTTTAACTAATTGTATCATTCTTTGTTGTTTCCATATATGTTAGCAAGCCAATAACTGTCTTGTATGACAATTCTAGCTGAATAAGACCTCCCCACATTCTTTATGGGGTATGTATAGACGGTCTGCATCAGCCTTTGGATGATGCATGTTATGCTTAGAAAGATGCTTCCTTGTCTTAAAATCCACTCGTCTGATATCATTTAGACTCCAGTTCAAGATGTTGAAACTATATTGGATCACTGGCATGGCAAGGCTATTAACGGACATCATTCTGTTCTGAGAATTCAATTCAATTCTTAATATCAGTCGCACCATTCTATAATACTATTTTCGCACTATTTCTTTCACTTTTTATGAATTCCTTCACCCTCATTTACACCGAGGTACTTATAAGCTTCTTGTTCAAAATCTTTGATTGTTAGCCCGGGTCTAATCTAATAACGGAGGTTTGATGTAGTGATCCTCGTAAAATTGTAGCTTTAGCACATTTATCCAAACCAAATTCCATTCCTATGTCATTGCTGAAACATTTTACTGTTTTCAGGAGACCTTCCAACTTACTGCCGTTCCTAGCATACAACTTTAAATCATCTATGTAAAATAGATGGCTTATTTTCTTTTGAGATATAGCTATATTCCGTCCTGTTAAGTTCGCTGGTTAATCCTATTAGGGATATACAAAATAGTAAGGGAGACAAAGAGTCACTTTGAAATATTCCTCTATTGATGTTTATTTCATAAGACTTAGAAACTCCATTTATGTGATTAAGGTGAAGTGTTGTTTTCTATATCGATATACTTTTTTTTTAATGCAATTGATGATGACGGGTGATACCTTGTGTATATTTAAAGACTTTAAGATCCAGAAATGGGGTACACTATCAAATGCCTTACGGTATTATTATTATTATTATTATTATTATTATTATTATTATTATTGTTATTATCTTTCCTTTGGTTTCTGTTGTATACACATTTCATTCCGATGACTATGGGTCCATAAATTAAAACCCTGCTACCAGGAAGACCTAAGGTTCAATCCGAAACTTACTGATGGCAGATCATTGTATTTTGATATTTTGAAGATCTTCAAACAGAGCATTATTATTATTATTATTATTTTTATTATTAAAAAAGACAACATAGATCAAATATATTTACATAGATAAAGACCTTCGTAGTTGCTAGCGTTACATAATGTGAGCTGTACTTAAGACAATTTTCTGTATGTCTCTTACAATTTTGTATTTGTTTTTTAAGCATAAGCTACCACTGGAATTGTTTTCAATGAATCTATTCTAAGCTTTTCCAATCAATTTTGAGGGCTACTTGGTTGCTATATTTGATGTCCCTCCTATCAATTGCCACAAGTTTGAGATTTCCAGACAATAATGTCCGGCCTATTTGCTTCAGATCATTGGTATTTTGATTTCTGTTTTTTGAAGATTTTCAAATATACATTGCTTTAATTTTTAATCATTTGGGGCAATAAAATTGTTTCTTGGTATTTTATTATTAGTGAAATTACTCTATTATTATTAGTATTAACTTTATCAACATTGGTTTATTTACGTTCTGGATATTGGCCATGTAGAGGTTTGTCTTGCCCGTTGTTTCATCTGTTCAAGCTTTATCCCCTTTATCTTTTGCTGCCTCAGATGCTCAGCGTTGTTTCATCTGTTCAAAGGGCTTTATTATTCTTTTCATATCTTTTGTTGCAATAGTTGGTTCTTGGCTTCTGTTTTGATTTTACAGAATCTACTAAATGTAAATGTTGTTTGTATTTACTGCCTTCTTTTATTATTGAATATTTTTCTTTCTGTTTTCATGTTGTTTCACTAATTTTTATCATCCAGTCATTTGTTGTTTCAACAGAATACAATAGTTGTTGTCTTGTGACAATTCTAGCTGAATAAGACCTCTTCCACCTTCTTACGGGGTATGTATAGACGGTCTACATCAGCCTTTTGGATGATGCATCTTATACTTAGAAACTTTCTTGTTTTAGAATCCATTTGTCTGATGTCATTTAGAGTCCAGTTCAAGATGTTGAAACTATATTGGACCACTGGGATGGCAAGGTTATTAATGGCCATAATTCTGTTCTGAGAATTCAATTCAGTTTTTAATACCAGTCGTACCCTTCTATAGTACTCTTTACGCACTATTTCTTTCATTTTCTTATGGTGAATTCTTCACTCTCATTTACAAAGGTACTTATAAGCTTCTCCTTGTTCTAAATCTTTTATTGTTACAGCAGGGTCTAAACTAATAGAGGAAGTTTGTTGTAGCGATCCTCGTAAAACTGTAGCTTTAGCACATTTATCCAAATTGAATTTCATTCCAATGTCTTCACTGAAGCATTTACAGTTTGCAGAAGACCTTCCAGCTCATTGTCATTCCTAGCATACAATTTTAAGTCATCCATGTAAAATAGATGGTTTATTTTCTTTTGAGCTATTTTGTAACCGCATTCTGTCTTGTTAAGTTGGCTGGTTAATGCTATAAGTGATATGCAAAATAATAAAGGAGACAAAGAGTCACCTTGAAATATTCCTCTATTGATGTTTATTTTTGCCAGACTTATAGGTTCCATTTTTATGATTGAGGTAAAGTGTAGTTTTTTCCATATCGACATACATTGTTTGATGAAATTGATGATAAGGGTGATACCTTGTACATACTTAAAGACTTTAAGATCCAGGAATGTGGTACACTATCGAATGCTTTACGATAATCTATCCAGGCAATACTAAGATTTTTTTTTTTCCACGGGAAGCAGTTTTCCAGGATCATCCTATTAATAAGTAATTGGTCTTTACATCCGTAGCAGCCTCGTTTGCACCCTTTTTGTTCAAGTGGTAGTATGTCATTTCTTTCCAAGAAGAAATATGTCTGTTTTGTTAAAATAGATGTTAACAGTTTGTATGTTGTTGGAAGACATAATTGGTCTATAGTTTTTCGAATATTTGTGTCCTATTTTTTTGGGAAGAAAGGTAACTCCTTTGGTCATCCATGCAGGAATTTTAGTTGGATCGGTAACCATTTCTTGAAGTTCTTTGGCGAGTTTTTTTGTGTGCTGTATTTAAATAATATAGCCAGAAGTTAGGAATTTTATCTATTCCTGAGATTTCCAGTTGTGTGCTTTTTCAGTGCACATTTAACATCTTCTTCTGTGATTCCCGCCCATGTCTGTTCTGGTTTATTTTTCATTCGTTCTAACTCTTGCGCAATCCAATCTGCCTCTTCGTTGTGTTCTTTAGGCAAGCCCATATTTTCCCCCAGAACTGTATAACTTCTTCCATTTTAGGGGACTGTCACTTCAATTCTTTGTTTACCTATTTCCCTGTAAAATTTCTTTTTGCATCGGTTTGAAAGATCTTGTTCTGTCTATAGAATCTTGATCTTTTCTCGTAGCGTCTTATTCTTTGAGCCTTCAGTTGTATTGTTTGCTTTATTTTTTCTTTAGTTGATAGGACTTCATTTTCATTCCTGATATTGTATTTTCTTTCGACTCTTCTGCCTTTTCTAGTTCTTACATTTACTCCTCTTGCTAGTTCATCGAGTACTGATAATTCACTTCTAAGGTGTTCAATTTCTTTTCTATTTTTCTTTTTCAAGGTGGATCTTCATGTCTGTGAGGCCTTTTTTTACTTTGATGTTCAGTTTATTTGTTGCTGCTATTGTTGATGCATATATTGCTTCATTGAGATTTATATAGTGTCTTCTTCATCCAGAATCAATTTGAGTGCTGCATTATAGAGCTTAATAGTTTTGAGGTTATCTTTGTTGGTTGTAATTTTGGGAGTTGTTCTCGTTCCTCCATTGCAATATTCTGTATCTGAATATGGCTCATGATTTCATCCTTGGCTTTGTATATTAATCTTGTTTTCTGTGAAATAATTCTGTTCGATGAATTTTGAACTCGTTTTATTACTGTCTTGTGACTGACTAAGATCATACCTTTTCCAACATTTCTAAATTTTCAGCATTATGCCTACAGTGATTTTGTGTATTTCGGTTTTTTCATTATGACCTGAGGCTTGTGTGATGTTATTACTTTTTTTTTCCTGATTCCGGTTCCTTTTCATGTTTTGTTGGTTCATCTATTCTTGTTGCAATTCTTTTTTATTTCATTAATTTCAGCCTCTGTCAATCGGTTATTTCGCATGATGTCCTTCTTACATTGGCTAGTTTATTTTTGTCTATGTACTTTCTAATTGTTTGCCCAACCTTCTCTCGCCAAATGTCATATGTTTGAGTGATGTTTTTCTGAGGTTTGAGTAACGCTTCATGGAATGCAGTCATAACAACTTTGTACTCCTCACGATTTTTTTTTTTTCTTTCCTTAAATTTACGGTTATGGATCTAGCTGGAGAATTTACAGGACCATCATTAGGATTATCCTGGTTGTGGGGACCTGAAGATTCATTCTTGTAGAGTTTGTTCCTATGGCAGATTTTTTTTCGACCTCAGGTAGGTTCCTCCTGAAGGACGGGCTCCCTGTTTATCCACTGGAAGAGCCATACTGGACGTTTTGTTTCTATTTTTAATTTTCATATTAATCCCACGAGTGACGCACGGGTCCAAAAGTCCACCCAAAAGTTGCCCGGCACGTTGAGTAACGGTCTTTTTACAGACAGGGTTCCGAAGCCTGGATCGTTCGCGACCTCATAACGCAGTAGCCATTCCTCCTCGGCACGATTAACACCTTGAGTTGCGGGTTGTTGTTCGGAGTTTTCCTTCTCCTAAATGGGTTTGCCAAAGCAACAATAGACAGAGACACGATTGGAAATCAAAGAGAATGACGCTGGTTAAAAAAAAAAAAAAAAAAAAAAAGTTTACATTCGTTTGTCTTTGCTGTGAAATTTAAAAATAATTTATTGGCCCATCTGTAAATTCCACGATATTCCTTCTTAGAAAGATCGCATTTTCTTTTCATAAATTCATAAAATGTAATATGTAAATGTAAATTCGTTATTTTTTTAAAGTCGTTGAAAATAGCGTTGTTTAAAAAAAAAAAAAAAAAAAAAAAAAAGTTTACATTCGTTTGTCTTTGCTGTGAAATTTAAAAATAATTTATTGGCCCATCTGTAAATTCCACGATATTCCTTCTTAGAAAGATTGCATTTTCTTTTCATAAATTCATAATGTAATATGTAAATGTAAATTCCGTTATTTTTTAAAGTCGTTGAAAATAGCGTTGTTTAAAAAAAAAAAAAAAAAAATGCAATCCTTCTAAGAAATTATTATTATTATTATTATTATTATTATTACTACTGCTATTATTATTATTATTATTATTATTCCAGCTCTGTCAACAGAATACATGTCTGCTTTGAGATCGCAACCTCAATTAATGAAGAACTTGCTCAACTATCACATCGTCAAAGGAAAAGTGACATCCGACGAAATGGTCGGGCAACAGAATTTTACCAGTAAAATCGCTGTTAAAATAAAAGTCAACGTTTTCCGAAACGTAAGTTATTTTAAACATAAACATGTGCGGTTTGTTTGTTTTTTTAATTCGATAGAAATGAGACATTTCATCCTTTATGACTTCTTCGGATTAAAATGATGTTTACATTGATGACACACGCATGTCGTTCTACAGAAAGATGCTGAGCATAGATGGAACACTCACAGGCCGTATTGGGAACAAGAGAAGCCTAGGGAAACAGCGAGTAGCCTACTAAACTAGTTGTGTAAATGGATGGAAGAACAGAAGCTGAGCGGGTAGTAAAGAAACAAACAATGAAAGAAGTTATGGGGAGCTATGATTGCCAACGTCCTCACGAGACACGGTGCATATGAAGTTGGAGCGTTCGAGAAATGGAGACAAGATGCATTGCCTCATGTATCAAGCGAAAAGTTGTTATGGTAATTTACCCACTCACGCATGGGATCTCCCATCTATAAATAGGAGCAGGTACTGCCTTTTGGAGGAGGAAGTTTCCAGCTGTCAGCTCTAACAGTCGGACTGAACATTCTTGCTGTAACACTCTCGTTTGTATAGTGATTTTCCAAGCGTAGCTTAGATGTGGCACAAGGCCAAAGGTATGGGGTTTGTATATGTTTGTATTACTGTTTCTGTTAATATATTTGTTTAACTCAATTCCTCTCTTTGTGACTTTTTTTCTGGTCCTAACAAAGCCACAACAAAAGTCGTGACTTTGCTTTGATTTCATCCTCGTCTTGGTTAATGAAGTCACAATATTTCGATCGCTTTACTCTCCGACCTTCTTCCGGTGCCTGCCGTATTTGGTAACGTTCTTGGCATTTATAAATATTTTTTTTTACTAGAGTTTTCGTTTCTCAATAGGCACTCGATGAATGTGGACATATAACAAAAACTGACTTTTTACTACAATTATCTTACAATCTACATCCAACTATTACGATGAGGACGCGCGCCGTAGAGCAGTAGTTAGCAAGCACATCTCGCGGGTCATTGTTCGTGTTCGGATTTCGATCTTCATCGAGTGCCTCGTACTTCTTGACTTGTGCCACGTTGAATCAAGTCTAGCAAACAACTTGAATGCGTGATTGCGGTGCAAAAATGGTTAGCACGAGTCTTGTTAACCAGTCGCTTGTGTAAGTGGGTTCGATTCTCAGCGTGTTCACAGTACTTGCGCCTTTCTTACAAACTAAGCCAAGTTTGGGACCGATTGTTTACATAGTGAAAATAACGAAAATAGTTCTTTTTTTGTCCACAACATAATCTCAACGTGGTGTAATGGTTAGCAAGCTTGTCTCGCTAGAACAGTTACGACTGAGTAGTGAGTTCGATCTTCACTGGGTGCCCCATATTTTCGGCCTTGTGCCACATCTAAGCTACGGTTAGAAAAGGCACTTTGACGTGATGCAGTGGTTAGCAAGCTTGTCTCCTTAGAACAATTACAACTGAGTAGTGACTTCGATACTCACTGGGTGCTCCATACTTTCGGCCTTGTGCCATATCTAGGCTACGCTTAGAAAAACATCATCGGGAACTTCGATGTGGTGTAATGGTTATCAAGCTTATCTCGCTAGATCAATTACAATCGAGTAGTGAGCTCGATCCTCATTGGGTGCTCCATATTTCCGGCTTTGTTCGACGAAAATTATGCTTAAGTGTTTTACTTTAATCATAGATTATTTCGCCCGGTTTATTTAGTTTTGTTATTTAAAATATATATATATATATATATGTATGTATGTGTGTGTGTGTGTGTGTGTGTGTGTGTGCACATTGTCCACTTGAACAAAGAAAAGGCAGAGGGAGGTGTTTATCTGAAGGCGTGACCCAGTGCCAAACGAGCATATTACAAGTATATTGCGTCAACAGAAGAGATGCTAATTTGACTCTTTGTGAACACTTGTGAAAACATCAATTTATAAGTGATTATTACCACCGTCTCGAGGAGGTGTTGACTTACAGGCTCATATGACGTCATAGATGGGATATATCTGTCAGACGCCAAAAAAAAAAGCCAGCCTGAATGAAGAAGAGACCAAAAAACACAAAGCGATAAAAAGAAAGATAAAATGAGATATTTATGTAAAAGGTAATTTCCAGAATAAATAAGATGAAAAAGAGAAGGGAAAGAGAGAAAGAAGAAAGGAATTATAGAAGCAAGCAATGAACAAAAAAAATCAACAAAGAAAGTAACGAAAGAGATGAAAAGGAAGAAGGCTAGGAAATAGAAAAAAAGAAAAAAAAGGGACGAAGTAAAATAGATGGAAAATAAGAGAGTAAATAAGTAAGAAAATGGAAAAAAAAAATTGGAACTAAAGCTAAAAAAAATAAGTAAAGAAAATTTGGGAGAAATTATAAGAATCCGTGGGTGGTTGGGAAATTTCTGTGAAAGATCAAAAAAAAAGTGGGGGAGATCCGGACTATTTTGAAGAATTCGTTTGTGTCAATAGGCTAACATCTGGTGTAGCAGTCGACCAACTGTGTGTCCCCCACGGGGGCCAATTAATGATGAGTTTTGGTAAATATTTTCATAAATTAAATCTTTTACTCTTTTTCTTTTTTAATGTGATATAACATCCTTTTTTCTTCTTTTTTTTAATCGTATCTGTCTTGGGGCAATGCTGTCAGAACAGTGTATGTCTGGCTGTCAATCTGGTTATACATTACATTTGATTTCTACACTTACAAAACAACGTTCATTAATTAACAAAACTATTCAACTTCACAGAGCTTCACAGTTTCCCAGAACAGCTTCCAAATTTATTTCTTTGAAATAAGATTTCTCATTAGATACAAAATACAAAAAGTATGACAAATAAAAAAGACGTTTACAAAAGAGTTTCTTACCTTTTAAAAGCAATGCAAAGTGCTCTCTGTATATTATCTATTTATCTATCTGTAACTCTCTTTATCTCTTTCTCCTTCTACTTTTCTCTTTATTTCTCCGAGTTTTCTCTCTTTCTTTCTGTCTTTTTTCTTTTCTTTCTCAGTTTTCTCTCTTCATCCCTCTCTATTTTTTGTCTGTCTCTCTTCCTCTCTCTTTTCTCACTTTCTTTCTCTCTCTATTTTCTCTTTCTCTCTATAAATATATTTTTATTATCTTCCTCATCCTTTTTCACTGTCTTTCTCGCTTTTTTTTCTTTTCTTTCTCTTTCGTTCTCTTCCTATTCTTCTTTTTCTTTCTCTCTGTTTCTCTCCTTTTCTCTTTTATCTATCTTTCTCCCAATTTCTCTCTCTCTCTCTCTGTTTTTATCTATCTGCCTCTTTCTTTTCCTCTCCCTTTCTCTCTCTCTCTCTTTCTGTCTCTTCACTACTTTCCTTTCTGTCTCACTCTTTTCGCTTTCTTTCTCACTCTTTTCGCTTTCTTTCACTTTCTCTCTCTCTTCGTCTCTTTCTATCTATCTCCCTACCTATCAATATTTTTATTTCTCTTTATATATATATATATATATATATATATATATATATATATATATATATATATATATATATATATTCTTTCAAAGACCCTCAGAAATCAATTAATGCCAAAAGAAAAACACGATTAAAGAATTTTCCTTTCACTCTTTGTCTTACTATTAACAGTGTTTATCCATTTTACAGCCATATTAAAATATATTAAATTTATAATCGCTTTCACTGAAATCGGTCTGCATGCTGAAATTCCATGGAGGAAAATCAGTTAGTTTCTATGCTTAACAAACACATTTAAACCGAAAACTACAGTACTATTGAAAGGATTCTTCAGACGCTTAAAGTCACGCATGCGACCAATTGTAATGAGATTTGTAAAATCTCTGCTATCCATAAGCAAAAAATATTTATGCAGTATCCTTTGAAAAATATTGCAAATCCTAATCTACTGGTAATCAATCGATCGCAGTAGTCTTCAAACATTGTGGAGTATTTTAGAAAATGTTAAAAAAATACAAAACATTTTTTTACAATTGTTCCAACTGTTGTCCTCGTCATATTCACGATGTTTCGGCTGTTGTACGCTCCGGCGTTCGTCAGGTGATTCGATTTTCGAACTGAACCCTTTATTTCGTCCCCCTGACTAGGTTGTTCTAGTTCCACGTGCCATGGCCTCTTCCGTATATCTCAGTTTCAGTTATTTCCCTTTAGTAAATCAACTCTGCAAGCTTTTGTTCGCCTCTGCTTGGATGAAGTAATCCAATGACTTGATCGAAAGAGTTGTGAGTTCAATGCCTGGTCACAGCAAAGGTAAACAAAAAACAAGAGCTTGATGAGCTGAATAACAAAAGGGGATTTAACTGAAATATCCGAAAGAAGCATGGTACGTGGAACTAGAACAATTTATCCCGGTGGACGAAATAAAGAGTTCGGTTCGAAATTCCAGTCCCCTGAAGAAGGTCGACGCGTACAACGACCGAAACGTCGTGAATATGACAACACAGATGATTACAACAGTCCGAACAATGTAAATAGTATAAATAGTTACAATACATCATCTAAGAAAATAACTATAAATAGTTACAATACATCATCTAAGACAGATAAAAAAAAATATATCTTGATGCAATTTGTACATAAATCTTGTGCAACCAACTCTGAAACTCTGGACTGGCCTTCATGTGCCTGTTATCCACCCTCTAAATAAGAGTTTCCCAAACTTTTAAGGACGCGGAACCCTTCTCGGTTCAGAAATTTGGGTGTGGGGACACCCCAGATACTAATATTTTTTTTTTTTGTAATATAAATATTTTCATATATTTTTATAAATAATAAGTACGTTTAAAAAGCAATTCAAAAATAATAATTAAGACTTTTTAGATTTTCATTCTTTCCCACAAATAACACGTAGAACAGAATAACGAACAATGTTAACATGTAATTTATTTCATACATAATCAGAATTTTTGGGAAAATTCAATGAGAACATTTCTTCTGTTTCATATTGTCACATAATTTTTTTAATGTTTGGCTTTATACTTGAGAATTTGATTCTCAAGTCAGCAGCAAGAATAAATCTACTTCGATATTTAGATTTTATGGCAGTG